AGCGTTACATAGACAAAGTTTTTCTTAGTTTGTGGGCTGCAATTATCAAAACGATTTTTGTATTTCTCTTAAGCTGGGATTTCCAGGTTTATTTTCAATGTGCTCTTATGTTCCTTTTTTTTTTTTATCAATCCAAGTGCACCTACTATGACTGGTACTATTTCTATTTTTTTATTTCCACATTTTTGTATTTAATTTCCGGTTTTTTAGACTTCGATAGTTTTTCAAATTGCTTGGTTGCTATGTTACAGTCTGCTGGGAAAGCAATATCAATTAGTAGGTAAGTTTTTTTTCTTTTCGGTTTTTGAAAATTATGTCCGGCCTATTTCCTTCCATCTTCCTGTTTGTAAAGATGGTGTAATCCCATAGAATTGTGATGTCTTCTATTTCTGTATCCGGTGCTGGGTGATGTTCATACCAGCGTTTGTTAACATCTTTTCCAAAGTGTTTGCACATTGCCCAGTGTAAATATTGCCCCACTCTATCGTGATGATTTTTTTTATATTCATTTCGATCAAGTACAGAATATGCTGAGATTAGATGGTCTATGGTTTCCTGACATTTGTTACATAACCTTCATTTTGGATCCACGCTATTATGTATTATATTTATCTGAACGTTTGTTGTAAAAAAAACTGTCTTGCGTTGTCAGAATAAAGTCTTCCGTTTCAGCCTTTAATCCAGATGTTCGTAACCATCGATGAGTGTCAACTTTATCAACATTGGATTTATTAGCCTCGTTCTGGATATTGTTCATGCGTCGTTTCATCTGTTCAAGAACTTTATACTTGGCTTTTTTTCATATTTTTTGCTGCAACAGTTGGTTCTGGGGTTATTATTATTATTATTTTTATTAGTCGTAGTATTAGTATTAGCAGAAGTAGTATCTTTCGCATTTAACAAAAGCATTTTTCCCTGTTTGTCGCCATGTTATTTATGTCCACTCATTTTGTTATAATCAAATGTAACTCTACCCAGATCTTAAAATATAATATAGTGAGAGAATACACGCCGGGAAAAGCGGACATGTACGTGTTTGGCGTATAAATCCAACATGGCCGACGTCGCGAGGAAGCGACGATGTCACGCGTGGTCACGAGAAACGACAATATGCAATCGACCCACTACGCATATGTGATGCTACTTTTTTTTAATACGATCGGAGCGTTTTGAAGTGTGACCGTTGGACGGTACGGTTGATTTCTAGCGGTTTTATATGAATTGGCATTTTTGACATTTAACCTATTTTGTCTTTCTGAATTTTGATATTTCTTTGTTTTGTTTTAAACTTAAACTATCACATTAACTTTATAACATATACACTAGTTTTCATTTAATGTTCAAATGATTTAAATGGAAAGCGGTCGGATGGGGATGTCGTTGGTTTGGGATGCGACTAGTGCGGATACATTTTCAGCCGGTAATTTGATAGGTCCGCGGTTGAGCCAGGATCCGTCGCCCGGGACACAGAGATGAAAAAAAAAATAGTTAAATATTCTTCTCTTGCTGCTAGATTTTTTTTTTACTCCTGTGGCAGTGGAGACTTCAGGGGTTATTGGCCCTCGTACGATGGCGTTCCTTCGGAGGATTGGCGCGATTGCGTCTCGATTAAGGGACGATCCTCGCGAAACGGAGTGGCTTTTGCAGCGTGTCTTACTGGCCATGGTTCGAGGTAATGCTTTCTCCATCATTGCGGCTGGCAGAGGATAGAAAAACAAAGTGTTTATAGTGACGTTGTTCTGGAATTGTCATCAATGGTCAACTGAACTTGTTTTGTTTCAATAAATTTGTTCTATTATTCCTTAATGATAGAACACTGAAATATAGCTTGAACAGGCAGAGCCATTTTCAAATATCAATGTGGGAGGAGACACGGTGGTGTCAATACTTTTAGCGACCATCTATTCGTTCAAAAGCTTATTAAAGAATTTTAACATATGCAACATAAAAACAGAATTACCGTAAAAAAAAAAAAAGCGGTAAAACATTTCATCGAGATATATCTTATAAAATCCCAGTCAATTTGCTTTCGTTAATGCTTTATCAATATGCTGAACGTTAAATCCGTTCTTTTTGTGATGGAACTTTTCTGCAATTTTGAAATCAGGAAAAGCAAATTTAATGTTCGAAGAAAATCTGTGTCTTCCCATACACTGGTAAGAATCAGTAAATCTGATTCATCCGAATGTCTGAAGATGGTAACAGTTTTATTGTTTAATATCATTTGACTAAAGCCTATTCAATGTATCGCTCAAGAAGGAAGTCGGTCTAAAAACAAAACCAGCATTCTCACCTTTTTTTTCCCTATATGAACAAACGCGTTGATCGAGTTGTACGTACGTTACAAACGTGCAAACAAGATTAGGGTTTCGAACTTTCCGATCATGATAAGGGCGCATTCATTTAGATGGTGATTAAGCCAAGACAGTGTGACACGAATTTAATCGGATTTCAGAAAATTAATAAAACCAAGAATAAGCGATGACAAACACGGAAACTGGAATGCCGAGAGAATTTCTTTTCATTCAAAAGCCGCAGTAACTGTCAACTGATAAGCGTTTAAATCTCACACGTTACTTTGAAAGCGTATCTGATTTTGTTATGTATTTTTATCTATAATTCTTTTCATATTTACTGATTCCTTTTATTCGTGTCTTATATCCTGATGTGTTAATGTATGTATTGACACAGGCATTACGTCATTGCCTTAACGTATACGATGCATGTGTCAATGATATAAATGGACAAAATAACTAAGGGCGAGAAATATGAAAAACATTCCATAATGAAAGATTATTAAAATAATAGACACATCGTAAGCTCTCTTACATTAATGAGTGGATCAAGGTATGTCTGAGACCAAACTAGATAAAAACGATATCATTCTGTTTTTACTAATTTTCATCCATTTTTCTGTTTTTACTAATATTCATCCATTGTAAGGCGGAAGATTGATTTAACGTAGAGGTTTAATGAATGAGGTTGTATGGACGTAAGAGTATAATACAATGACTGCACATTATGACGTCTAGGAAAGATAAAGCTTAAACCTGGACGTAAGAGGTTAATAGTGATCTGGGAAGTACCATCAAGGGAGCAACAACAAGCAGCGGCTCACGTGCAGAGGCTGTCGGGATGGGTTTCTTTCGCCCTGTATGCATGGTGTGGAGGGGGTTTAGCTGTAAAGGTCTGAACTAGTGGAATGAAGAATGAACAACATATGCCATGGAAATAGCGATAGTTTAGCAAGATCCTTGCAGCATTTTATTTGTAGAAAAATGGTTGCAGGCTGTGAAATAATCAATAATCTACAAGACTGCGGTAACGCTTTTGAACTCTGTCACAGATGTAAATAGAAGATTGGTCAGTTCCTGCTTAGTTGTGTAAGCAATACTCCAGCTGCGTAATGTGTGATAGGTCCATTGAATACACAGTCATTTCTGTTTTTACCTCATAAGTCTTTATTAATGTGGGACCTCTTTGTAAAAGGAGGAATTGCAGGTTATCAGGATATGAACAATAGATAATGGTTGACCCTAGATTTGAATAGGTTAAGATTATCGTGAAGCATTCTGTTGGAATCTGTTACACAATTTAGCTTTTTTGTGAAGAATTTCTCTAAATAGAATTTTATTTACCAGTGGAAAGGAATGGGGTGATTCGATTCTGTGTATGTGGCAGACTGAATGATATGCAATGTGGTGTTCAACTACGCCCCAGAGATATTTTGCACGAAAAATAATTACACTTCAGAAAATAATTTCTGTCGTATTTTACATGTGGGGTTAACAAAGCAAATACCTAACTAAAACAAGACAGGAAAGAGATATATTTTGATATTTGTGGAATAAACTAAGATACTTTTTAAAACCTGAGATATAAAAAAATACATAGTTTGATATTTTATATGAGCGTCTAAGAAAATCAAACCTTGTTTAAAGCAAGTTATCGTGAACTATCACGGTTACAATGTACGCAATATATAATATTAGTTAATTTTTTTATTGTAATAGAGCGGACGGAAATACTTATTTACTTAAATGCTATGACGTTGGTAAGTCATTTTAATAGCTGACACTAGACTCCTGAAAAGTAAAATACTGCACATTCTTGGCCTCAGGTTTTCAACGGACTTGAAGTGAAGCTACAACATTGACTCTCTCGCTGCATCTATTGCAAGGAAAACCGGGTCACTGTGTCGCGCTAGAAGATTTTTCTCATCAGAATTAGTCATGCACATTTATAAATCTACCATTTTGCATGCATTGAATACTGTTGCCATATATAGTCTGGTACTCCTGCTACGCATCTCAGGGTTCTTGACAAAATCCCCCAAAAGATCTGTAATGTAATTGATCCTGACTTGGTATCTCGACTTCAGTCACTTTCTCACTAACATGAGGTGGCTTCCTTTTGTCTTTTCTACAGATATTTTCATGGCAACTTCTATGACGAGCTTTTGTCTATGGCTTCTCGACTACAGGAATTTAAGAGTGCTACCAGATTGGCATTAAGGTCCCCACTCGTTTAATGTTGTTCTATTCCAAAAGTTTCCTTTCACGTACTTGCCGCCTGTGGAAATCCCCCCATTTAATCTCTTTACTAATAAATACAATTTTCAAAAAATTTATATTCAACATCATTTGCCATCTTCTGTCTCTTTGAATATCATTCATCTTTTGTCCTTTCTTCCACCTGTCCTATACACAGTCGTTTCTCTCACTTTCACGCCCTGTAACCCCCTGCGTACTAGTGACACCCCCCCGCCTTGCATATGTTGAAATAATAATAATAAAAAAACATGACAACTGCAAAAAAAATTAACAAATTTAGAAGCATTTCACATTAAATAATATTCACAAAATATCGCTAATACATGTTTATATGGTTATTTTAGTCAAAATCTAACCGAATATCATAGCTGCTGAAACCGCGTTCATTCCAAACATTACGTTGGCCCTCTCTTGATTTTACACGCTCTAGGTTCACAGCAAATCCCTTCGAAACACAAGTTCTTGTACGATCATTGAAGTTAAGCAATGTCGCGCCTGGTCAGTATCTAGATGGGTGACCGCTTGAGAATACCAGGTGCAGTATTCTTGGATCTGCGGCTGATGTCATGTATAACGGTCCGGAAATATTATGTGTTATGTTCGAGTACAGTCGATCCTCTTTGGGCGTTTTCCAGGAAATAAAGTTTAACATTTAAAATAAACGTAGTTACTCAAACTATGGCATTCGTCAAGATTTTAGCAGCACGATGGTCGTTTTCAAGAAAAGAAAGTATTTATTGATTGATTTGTTTTTACGGCCTGTCAAGTTTTGTAGCCAAAAATATTTTTTTTGTTGTAAGAGTTTTGGAGATAACAATGATTTCCTACTAATTAACCCATAGCTGGAGGAGAGAAGAGATGAACGCTTATACTTCCCAAGGTTATTTGCACGTAAGTGAATATAACGGACTCGACTGTAACTGGAACTCTGTTCTACGATTAAAAGTCCGTTAAACTGCTCGCGTGACCATTACAGTTCTTGATATTCCCAAGCTATCACCTCAGTACTGACCAGGCTTGGCGTTGCTTAACTTTGGTAATTGTAGGAGAACCGGTGTTTAAACATGGTATGGACGTAAGCCAAGTCTTGTGTGTAACGAAGGATTTTAGTTTGACTATTGTTCGTTGTTATAGTTTTGAGGGTAAAGGTCATCCTAAGGTTTCAAAGTGGGTGGGGAAGTACTTGGGAAATAAGAAATTAACATCGCCTTGAAAAGAGGTGAATCTCTAGAAAGACTAGTATATGATATCGAATCGCATCCATCGGCTGGTTTGACTCGAGTACAAGTGATTCAAATCATTTTTTGGCAGCGGATAAGAGAAGCCTCTGTTTGCAAGTGACAGAAGATTGTGGGAATTATCTTTGATCTTTCGAGAGCGGAAATTGAGACGTTGAATCTAAAATTCGAATTCGGTTCAAGAAATATATTTTATATGAACTGTTTGGACTTGAAATACGTAGATTCTCTCTTTATAAAATATCTCAGGAAAAGTAAGAACGCATTTACTTCGATTTTTCTTAGTAGGAAGTAAAGTTAAAATTAACGGAAAATTTAATTTAAGAAGATTGTGTTGCGTCTATCTAAGAAGCGAAAAGCGCCTTCTTGTCTTTTTAACTACCGTCGATGGTGAGAGAATGCAAAATTAACAGGTTTTGTTGTTTAAAAATTGTAACATTAAAACTATGTTATCTTTGAAAATTTACATTAAATACATCCGATTATATGCACCTTCAACACGCAAAGACAAGATAATTCTGTATCAATTGTATGCCAATTGAATCAGGTTTGGTTAGTCTGTTTATAATGGTAGCACGATTGCTTTGATTGGCTTATGAAGACAGACCCTCTACAATCAATGACGTAATATATGCTGTAAGCCGCGTACTTTCACTTTCGACTATAACTATCTTCAATTTGTGCTACGATAGTCCTTTTGTTGGCTCGTACCTGATAGAAAATACACTGTTTAATTGTCGAATTTTTCAATTTTGTCCGTCCAGTGACTATTTCAAGGCTTCATTTTTCCTTGTTGGACTATTACCTATATATATATATATATATATATATATATATATATATATATATATATATATATTCACCAAGCTGTAAATATTTTAATAATATTGTAAGTCTTCTGATCATTCCAAACTGGCTTTATTAAAAAAATATTTCTTTTGCACAAGAACTGCGGTATTCAACATATAAAAATGAAATACTCAAGGTCTTATTTCCTGCTGACAGTTTAAATAGATGTTACGAGACAATAGCTATTGTTCTTGTTCCATGTTGCTAATAATAACATTTCTGTTTCAGTAGTGTATATATACATAGATAGCGAGAGAAATTCAGAAAAAAAAAAACAAAAACAAACCTGTATACGAAGATAAATTGACGTAAGAGAAACGGAATAAGAGTTAATAAAAGATTTCCTGGGGCGCCTTCGTATGGTAATGATTCAACTTAAACTAGGCTTCCGTGTGATTAATCAAACAGATTAAAAATTGACAGGAATACTTGGTTGATCCAGAAGAGTAGTTATCAGGAGATAAAAATGTCGAAGAAAGAACCAGATTTCCTTATTGAAGCGTTTCTTGCTACTTTCGATATTTAAGGTCCATTTGCTCCCATGTGGAATGCTTTCTGTATACGAGATATATACGGAAATAATCCAGCCTTTTGTTAATATCTCGTTAATTAATTGCCTGGTATTGATGTAACCTGACAGCCACTCAGAAGGTATCTTACAGAAAATGTCGAACCATTGATTGTGCATTAAATTCAGAGGATATTTTAAAAGGAAAATCAGTCTTCCAGGGAGGATTTAAAATTGACATCAGATAAAGAATGCTTAAAAGACTTCAGGTTTAACTAGGCATAAATGAACACTTTCTGAATTGTCTTTAACAATCAGAATCGATGGAAATATTGAACGCGATCAAAGAAAATCGGTCATAATCAATATGGAAAATTGAGGATATGGCGATTTCATATACCTTGTTCCTCATAATTTCGGCTAGTTCCAATATCTCCATTGACCATTATACTTCAGCACGTGTTTTTGTTCAACACAATCTCGTAATATCCCGATCAATGTTCACTTTTTCCAAAGATAAAGAAGGATAATAAAAACTATGGTAAAGATTAAGGAGATCCCATTAACAATCCTGAAAGAGATATTGTTTATATTATTTTGTAAATCGTATATGATACTGGGGTCAATATGCGAGTAGCGGAGTCAAGTAAGGGGTAGGGGATATATTGCAATTAATATTCAGTAGGTTCTTCAAAGAGAGATAAGAACTATTAAATACTGATCCTGAAAATCAAGTTCCAATCGCAGCATTCTGTTTTTTAAATTCTACTACATCTTTGTATGTGATAGAGATGGTAGTAAGTTCGGCGATGGCTACAACAATTTCTAGCGAAAAACAAGGTTTCTGTCAGTATTTTTCTTTCGGAAAGAATTATACATTTATGAGTGGATCAATTTCGAGATGAGGAAGGCAGTTCTGTTTTTGATGAAAACTGAAAGAGGAATGTTACCCCAGGGAATTCTTTTGGTTGGACGTCAATTTTAACATTGATCAGTGAATAGTCAGAAATGTCCAAGGGAGTTAACTCTTTCGTTTTTCAGTATTTTTCAGAGCAAGATGTGAGAAAGGAATCTAGGAGATTGTCGCTATTTTTAATATGTTACAAGACCAAAATTCATTTGAAAGAATTTGTTACGTCAACTCTAGAAGACCAACCTGCTTTGAAAGTCAGTATTCGCATTTCGTCATCTGTCTAGTTTTCTGATTTGATATGTTGTAATTATTTACACTATTTACATTGTTCGGGCTCTTGTTCCCAACTTTGCTGACATTTTCACGACATGGCCCAGTGATAAAAGCGTTGGTGGAAATAATCCATTAAATTGACCCAAAGAGTTGTCAGTTCAATACATAACCACAGCAGAAGTGAACAAAAACCTGAGTTGAGTTAAAGGGAAATAATTGGAACTGAAACTTAGATATCCGGAAGAGGCATGATACGTGGAACTAGAACAATTGACCCGGGTGAACGAATATGTTAAATCTGATTCAGAAATCCTAACTCCCCTTGGGTTAGTGAAAGAGATTAAGGGAAACACTATGAACATTAAAACCACTGAAAATAATTTTGACCGGCAATGTAATATATGTTTACGTATATGGGAATAAATATTGGACAATCTTCTCACTGATGAAGAGAAAACTTGAAGCAACAGAAATACAGGATACTGAGAAAACTATGAACGGAACGTGTGAGCAACGAGGACGTCTTAAGGAAAGTAGACGCTTTTATTTAAAATCAGAAAGAGACAACTGAAATCATAATGTGGAAAGAGTACTTGGAGAATCTGATACTCACAAAACATATGATAAGCAAAACGGACATGAGGGATGCAGCGAGCCACCTGTTCGATGAGCTTCTGTTAATAAATGATAAACATGAGGCATGGTAAATGACAAGTATTACAAAGAGTTAAACGGATAGGAAGTCGTGAAGAGCAATGATCACCCACGTCCTGAAGATATACGGCATATAGAAGAAGAACACACATTATATACATGTCATTATATCTAGAATGAATACCTTTGTCTGAGATAAAGTTATATTAGAAGAATAGTCAAAGAAAATCACACTCGCTCTGCTAAAACTTTGGATTCCGAGACGATTGCTAATCGAATATATTTCTCTTAGATTTGGTTTATTGAACTTCATGGCTTCATGAGAGAAACGCAAAATGGTGAACGGACTTGCCAGTGTAGCAATTGTTAGCGAGGTCAGTCTACTAAACACTTCATCTAAGGCACTCTACACAGTTAATATTTATTAAGCCTAAATTGTTACTATACAAGAAGACCTTATGAGAATACGACAGCCAGAACGTTTGAACTTAACAAGTAAGCAGAATTATTATTATTATTATTACTGAGGACAGACAAACTTTCTTAAAAGTAATTAAATAAAATCTTGAGAATTCAGTATTAGAAATAGCACAACATTTCCACGCAACCCATACAACAACCGAAGTTAAGCAACGTTGAAGGAGGTCACTATTTATTTGGAAGAGTTTGATAACACTAAGTACTGTAAGTAATAATTTGTATAAATATATGTGGCCTTTAAATAAAACAAATGCTGCTTATTAACGGCAAAATAAAAGACAATACATAAATCAAACAATAAAGTATACACACTTGGCCAATTGATTACAAGTCATCGGACAATTTTTTTATTTTACTCATAGTCAACATCTGTTAGACATTTAGGAGATGACACTCTACCAAAACATTCTCTGGAAAGAAACATCACTCCTGGTGAGAAGTAGGTCCTTTAAAATCATATTTAGTAAAATGAGTGACAAGGGTTACACCTCAACCAGGATTGGTGAGATATTTCATTAATTCTGAGAGTCCCATTGACTAACTGGATGTGGCAGTTTCATGAAAATACAATACACCTTGCAAAACACATACATGAATAGGCATGGCACTGATGAAAATTCTATTTGACAT